ACACCCACCCAAACCCCACCACCTTTGCACATCTTAGTGGCAAACATGGATTGTTATATTGTTTGCTTTGTATATACTCCATTTACTAGTCACTCTTCAAGTGAGTGTTAAAAATTACAATTAGGTCCAAGAAACAGATTTTTCTCTATAAACACATACAAGACTGTAATAAAGACTTTGATATCTATACAAGTTGCCTTATACAGACCCACACACTCCACAGATTTATTCACTGGCATCCAACTTTCCACTCCTCACTTTCTAGGCTTAATTCAAGCCTTACAATTTTAACTAGGCCTTTATCAAAGTGTTTACACTTGGCTAAATATCAATGAAATGTAAAATACACAGATCACCAGTTCCTTTTAGAACCTGATGTTCAAAACTTCATTTTTTCCAGTTACAAGTTATTGCCCCACCACTCATCTTGTCAGCTAAAAAAAGACTAGATGAAATGCAGCAGCTCCATCATTTGGACAATCTTTCAATTTATTTCTATAGTTTGTTCTGGCATTCCTTCCCTTCCTCTACCACCCTGAACGTTCCCTGGATGATCTCTCTTTACAGATCTTTAGAAGTACCATTTATATTATATTTATATGCAATTAATATTTAACTTTCAGCTCCTTGCCCATCAACTAAGATGAAGTTGAAAATTCTTCAACCTGCCTTCTCTGCCCTTGAAAAGTGGTATCTCAGCTGACATTAGCACTTGCCTGCAATCCCATACTATAAAACAATGGTTCTGAAACTTCAGACTTGTTAGATGCAACCCCCCAAGATTTGACCTTTTCTGCCCAAGACTGAGCTCTCATCCTCTGGCTTCTCTCCACCTCCTCAATATATACTCTACCCACTGAGCCTATTCAAGAACACAGCTGTATCCCACTGAGTTCCAGAATCCTTCCACTAGCCCCACCTCTTCACTACCTCGATCAAGTTTCCACATACTTTTAAAGCGTTTCCCCAACTTGCCTACTTTTGCGCATTACACTGCTACATTGGACTCCCTTAGTCTGTTTGTTCATAACAGCCTTCATTGTTTCTTCCTTATCCCCAAGCACTGCATGTGCCATCCATAACCTAGAGCATTAAGCCATTGTTCTCTCCTTAAGAACCATATCCTACTATCTAATTAAAAAACAAAATAAAACACCCAAACCTGGATTGAGAGACAACCCCTGGCTACTAACTGAAGAAAGGACCACAATAAAGATTGTTCCACACAGGATGTAGGACAATCATGTTGAAAGTTGTTCCTGTCATGTGCCCACCCACGTGTCGCCTGTGTCCCCCCTGAGATTAGCTGCCACTGAAGCCACAGCCAGCTTCTGCAGGAGGTCGCTGCTCGCCACCCACCCTCCCGCTGCAAAAGCAGCCGCCAGCATCTTTGGGCAGTTTCTGCTCCATTGCCGACTACAAAGGGTGCCCCCCCTAGTCTTGGGAGGCACCAGTCTTACATGGTTCCCGTCAATACCAAACTGGGCCAGATTCAAAACAGCGACCTAAAAATTTAACACTCCACATCTCATTACCATTCCCACTCTGACAAAACCTTAAGGTGTTGGGGCACCCCAAGAGATGCACCCTAGGTTTGTGCAAGCCTACTTGGTTACCCACTCTGCTGAATAGGAATACCTAGGTTAATCATTTGCTCAGAAATCACAATTCACCATAGGCACCTTGGGAAAAGAACAGAAAGAGAAGGGGTTTGTTATCAGGAAGAACAAATGATATAAACAAAGCGATCAAATGATTTGACAGTGATATACAGTAACACATAATGGACAAAACCCTCATCCTATGCTCAAACTATAGCCTAGCCCTCCAAAAAGTTCCTGTGAAAAATTTCCCAGGGTCAACCTCCTCAAGTCAAAGCTAGGTCCCTGAACCAGGCACCTCCATCCCCCTCTCCTCCTTACAAGGAGCCCCTGCCCAATGGTCACTGCCTCTAGAACACTTCATACAGCCTTCCCCCACCTAGCCAGAGAATCCCCCTAGTGTTTCTGCCTGTGGATCCATGGCACCCACCATGCCCTTTTACTGCTTTTCTGTTTCTTTCTAGTTTCTACTACTAGGTCCACCAGCCTCAAGTCTCCCTTCCCACTTTTGCTGTTTTAAGATAGGAAGTATTGCTCTAGCCATTTGAAATGCTTCTCTATCTGTTGGGCACCGGATTCTTCAAATCTCATAGTTCCTTGCACTTACCATTAGTGTCCATCATTGAAAGTCTGAAGACAAGCATGAAGAGCTGTCATTTGAAACCTTTACTCTTTTATTCCTCATTCCAAGTCTACAGCTGTTCGCTGAACTTTAAGATTTAGTTATACAACTAAACATGCATCTTCATACTCAATGACCTACTTCTTGAACATTGTCATCATATCTGCTTTATGAACAAGTGTAAGTTTTATACATTCTACTATCACTAACCCTTCAGTGGCACAATTGATTCAAGTCTTGATTCCTGTTCATAAGCAACACTATTTTGAATAACTGTGTTAACAGGTCTTTAAAGATGGGCCTGTTTATGGTATCCCACCCTGAACATCTACAGCTAGATTAGATAAATAGTTTGATCTTATTTTATAGCACAGGGATGCTCAACATAAAAGGATAATTCATCCATCAAATTTTGGTCAAAAGAAGACTCACTGCTGTGCAGATCTCTCACTGAGAGATTAAAGGCATTGTTACATCTTTAAGAACTTAAATTTTATGGCTAAATCTAAGAATTTACCATTAGCTGGGAAGAGATGCACTTTCCCTTTTTATTTTGTCTCTTGCCACTGAATTTCACCTACATATAGAAACTCAATCATTCCATAGCGGACTCTATGCTTTTGTTTTCCTCCCCATAACCTCTCTGCTGCAGTGATAAGTTGTTAAATAGTTAATACTGTTACTTAAGCACATTAAGTATACCATAAGAGGTGTTAATGAGGTACAAGGGAAGAAGGAAGAGTTCACAACCCCCAGAGGCATGGTTTTAAGCCTGGAGATTCAAGACAGCACTGCTAGCTTTAACCATAGCTAGAAACTTAAAAGAAAAAATGGATTCTGCTGAATCAAGGTGTGACATGTGGGCCACATTACAATCAAGTGGCCCAGATATGGCCTATAACTGTTTGATAAGAGCACTGTAACAGGGGATGACACTAGTCTGTGCTGGCTAGAAAGCTTATTAGGTATGCAGAGACAGGCAAAACTATGTTCGGTAACATGTTTCTACATAGTAGCTTCAGATAAACTGTTGAGATCAGAGAGAACACTAATGTTTCGATTGCTTTGATAATTTCACTTGACTCATGTTATTTTCAGTGATACTGTGACCTCAAATCGCTAGCCTCTGTTTCATGCTTAAATAACTGCTGTATGTCCACTAAATTATAAACCTCAGCAAACACCACCAGCCTTCCTCAATAAGACACTGTGGGAACCACCATCAGAGGAGGAGATCAGACACTGCCCTCTTGCAGGCAAATGGGTCCCTCAGCATCAGAGCCTTGTAACTCACTAAAATAGCCAATCTGCAGCCCCTTATTCAAGAAAGATCTGGTCTTAACATGGTCATAAGGAGATCAACCCCTCTGCGAGTTCATCTACACACGTGGACACACACCTATGGGTCACATGACTATGGCTAAATTCAACCCAATTCCTACTGCAGTAGTGGAGAGACATAGCTAGTTTGCCTCACTGCCTCTCAATTTTCATCAGCTCTAGCATTTAGGAAACACTAACCAGTCAAAACTGGAAGACAGAAGTCAAAACAAGGAAAAACCAATAGCTAGGAAAGCAACATTATGCAAGCACGGGAGATACTTGGGAATAAAACCATCCTTCCTTTAGAATCTCATAAGCCCTGTGATCATAATGCTCTGGCTAGAGGCCGCACTGCCAAAGCCATATTGAAGAGCAGGGGGTAGGCCACCTCCTTGGTGCAGACAGCTTATATAAAAGCAAAGAGAGAGATGCTTACAGTCCAGGTGCTTTTTCTTGGGCCCCATCACTTCATGCGTGGTTGCTTTGCAGACGGCTCTGGCCACGGCCGATCCCGTAACGCTGTACTGAGCAGCTGCGATGCGATCTGTCAGCGTCTGACCCGACATCTTCGGCTAATGTTAACGCTGCTGCCTCTTCTGCAAAGGCGGGGGGGGGGGGGGGGGGGCAGGAAAAAAAAAA